CAAGACAGCCCATGCTTTGCTAATTGGGCCTCTTAGTTTCTGTGGCAGAGTAAGAGTCTCATCTTAGAAGTCTAGCTGAAGTTGCTTGTACTTCAATGGTTTTTAGGTGTGCATGGAAATAAGCATTTGTGGATTCTGCTCTTGTTATTGCCTAGATTTTTTTTTCTTTTTTTTCTTTTTTTTTCCCTTTTTTTTTTTTTCCCTCTGTGATGGAAAGGTCAGCTTAGAGAGTGGCCCATGTTGCAGTCTCTGCTAGGGAAAATGTTTTCTCCATAAAGTAATGAAGAATTTTCAGTAGTTCATGAATTTTCAAGTAGATATCCTGGTTTCTGAACTCCAAACCATAGAAATTTGCTTTGTCTTCGAGGAAGATTACTCTGCATGTGTGTCTGTGTTCTGTTTAAAACAAAACAAAAAAAATGGCCAACAAACAAAACCCAAAGCATAACAGCAACAACAACAACTTTATTTTCCACTTTCTTCATTTGATAAAAATCTCTCCACTGTAGAATGATTTCCTTTGGGTTTGACACCACCATTTGATCTCAGTTTTTAATAAATTTGGTGGGTTTCACTCTCAGAAGAAAACATGCTTGTGCTGTGAAGTATTCCCACTAGAAATCTGGGAAGTCTTAAAACCTCATGTTACTCAGGGCAAAGAACTGGCTTCTTTATTAATTCCCTGCTAGACAACCCCTGTACAGTAAATCTTTCCATAACACCATGCTGTTGAAATTAATCAACCTGATGTTTGGAAATTGTTCAAATTAGATAAAATTAAATAACACCTTGATGGGACTTAAAACTTGACCTGATGGAAAGAGATTTTAATCTATAAAGACAAGAATTTTATTGGTGCTTTTTCTTTCTGATTGATTTTCATTTTATACTTATTAGGACACACAAGCACTGCTCCCTTTTTAATGGCTGGAGAGGGGGGTGGCTGTAAGAGCTCTCTGCCTGTGATGCTTCTGTGCAAGCAGACTGTGCATAGAAGTTAAATGCCAATAGTATCACATCTATTACTGTAAAAAACGTGCTGGACAAAGTATTATTTGCAAATGAACAGAAGAAACAATGCAGAACTTTTTAATAACTGCTTTCTTCTCTTCCTTCTAGTTTGTCACTAGAAATCTGCAGCTTTTACTTGGGAGTCTTACAAGTGAAAATGTTTTTCAGGGAGCTGTATGATTGCAGATTGATAATACTTTTAACTGTCTCTAAGTCTTTTTTTGCAAAAATTAATGCTTTATGCAGCAGGGTATCTTGGATTTTCACTTCTCCCGTGGATATGTATTTATCTTTCCTTCATTTTTAAAGAATTGATTACTTCCCAATGAAACAAAACTATAGATTAAAATGGACAAGGAGGAGAAAATGCGAATTTGGTCTCTTTTATACATATTTAATTTCTTCTTAATTTCTCTGCCCCTTGTAAGAGTTGTGGCAAAAAACACAAGTGTATTTACAGAGACTCTCTGTACGTTGCAGCTTTTCCGTGAAAGCAACATTGAAGCTTAAATCTCATCTCTGCTTTGCTTTAAATGTGTATGTTATACAGAGGTACTGGTTGCTGCTAACCATTCTCTTCTGGGTAATGATGGGAACGGGTTTTTGGTTTTTTTTGTTAGATGGAATTCTTGCTGTGTACGGATGTCCTTTATAAAAGCATTTCTGTAGATCTTGGTTTATGCTCCCCTGACATTTTATGCAGATGCCATGTGGGGTCAAAGCTCTGCTGGAAGCATGAAAGAGCTGTTCATGAGTCAGTTACGTTAATCAAAATCAAGGAGAAAAAGCCTTTAGGATGATTTGTGATTACTGGTAATGCTTTGTGTGCATACTAGCATTGTGTTTGTCCTTTAAGGAAACAAACTCTTTCCTTTTTAGCCCTCGGAAAACTCCTTGTTTTCTCTCTGTGCAAAGCAGTGCCGTGTGTCATGCAGCATGAGCTGTGCAGCATCACTCCCTGCAGTCTCTGTGAAGCTGGGAGAGGGGTGCATGTGAGTTCAGTGCCGGGGCACCTCAGCCCGCTCCGTGCGTGTGCACAGCGAGGGAGGATGACAGGGATTCTGGCTCATGGCTCGTTAGGAAAAGAGCTGAGGAGTTCCAGGATTTATGAGTAAGGCTGGCTTGTGCTGCAGTAGCACGGCATGTGAGACTATTATGGATGCTTGGTCTGCAGCTCTCTGAGTACTGCTCCAAGTTCTTCAACTGGAATGACAGTGAGTAGTGACTAACTTGTATTGCTCTTCTCTGAGGGCCCTGTAGCGAGCTGGAGGTGTTACATATGCATGTAGGAGCAAGCCATGTGTATGTCAGCATGTAAAGAGCATGTTGGCGTCGGCAGATGTTTTTTCTTTTGATTCCGACATACTGAAAGCGTATTTATTTTCAGATAACATTAGGAATCAGAAGTTTGAGGTAGTAAGTTTGTTGGAGATACGATATTTAATGTGAAATAGAGAGCAAAGCAGTTGAAACTTCCTTGGAGCGCGATTGGCTTGGAAATAAGTTTGATTACTGTTGCTTTTTATTTTATTTTTAAAATCAGTATTAAGATTCCAGGAACTATAGTGAGAGGCATGAGTATGGGTCAGTAATGACGGATGTGGTAACCTGCCCTTTGCTCTCTGTTTTTAAGGTACTAATAGCAGCTTATCATCAATTACCCTGGGTCACTGAGTTCAGAGATGTTTTTTCTTTAGCAGGGTTCCTGCAAGCTTGGGCAGCAGGAAGGGGCAGGAAAGTCATCATGGGCAGGAGTCGTGTGGGGTCCTTTGTGCTATCCATAAAGTGATATAATGTATGGCATCCGTTCTAGCATTTGAGATCCTGTTTGTACTCAGACTGTAAAGGATGAGTGCAGAGAATAGGTGCAATTTCTTTGCTGGAAAGGAGAGACTGTTGTATGACAAGGAAAGCATCCTGCAGGAGCATAAAAGACAGTGTGACATCCCTCTCATCAGTTTACTTCACCACTTTTTCTGTCTTGCCAAAATGTAATTTACACAACTGATATTACAGCCTCAGCATTTGGCCAATTATCTTAATCTTTTGCTAAGACATTAATAGCCCCATCAAAAGTGCTGTGACAGCCTGTATGTTCGACAGGACTGGAAGTTTGTTACATAGAGACTTACTTTCATTTTAACTAGTTAAATGGTGTATGGACAAATAGAATTCAAATTCTAACCTTTGATAGGAAAAGAGATTTTTGTCACTGATTCCAGAGGAACGGGATCACCCATGCTGTCTCTTCAGGAAAGCACCTAGAGATTTTTTTTCACTGAGGTTTTTTTAGCACTTAGTGTTAGAGCTTGGCTGCTTGAACTAGCGAAAAGCATCAATTTAACCCAGAATCAAGAAGTGAAGAGGGAGCAGTATCAATGTTATGCTGTAACCTTCTTTCATGTTACTTTAAGATGTGTTTGAAAACAAAGAACTGAAACACATCAAGTGGATATTGTACTGTGTAGCTCCTGCAAGTTAGAATGTCAAATTGAGAGCCACTCTGTGCTAGATAAGTCACTAACTGAGAATTGTGTATCTAAAATACGTTTTAAAGTAGATCTAGTGTCTCGAAATTCAAGACAAGGAGTATTTAAGTTCCTTAGCAGATACTGATATGACTGTATTTATTTCAGGGCAGGGTGATTCTTCTGAAGGGATGTATAGCTATTGGTTTGTAGATATTAGGTTTTGAAGCTACCGACAGTAGCTCAAAATATTTAATAGACTTCGTGAAGGACAACTGAAGTGGTCTTTTTCTTCTTTTTCCCTTAAAGAAGTGTCTGGTCCAGGAATACAGTGATTTGTATCCAAAGTTCATAAATATACTCAGATTGGGGTTTTTTGTAGTTTTTATCTATGGAAATAGTTATATTTCATACTGAAGAACAAGATTTAGACGTGAACTTGCCAGTGGTATTGAGAGCCTTAGATGGCACATTTGGAAAACTGCTTTAGGCTGAGATTATTCTCTGCACCAGTATTTTCTAGTTTTCCTAGGGACTAACAAGTTGTATGCAATCAGTTTAAAAATGTCTGTGACTGGAGGTAGACTGGCTTGTAGCAGGTGGTGGAAATGGCCGTGCAGTTCTGTAGGTTTTCTGTCTGTTCCCTCTGCCTTCTGGGAATGCGCTGTAGGGTTGTTCCCTGCAAATTGGCACGTTTCTCTGCTGCCTATAGTATTGAGTCCCTTTAAGTTCATGCCTCACCATTTATCTAATGCCATAGATAACTTGATCCTGTAACCACAAAAGTAGATTTACAATAAAACACAACAAAATTGAATCCAGACCACCCCCTGAGTTTTCCACTTATGTGGTTCCTCCTCATCCTTGATCTTTTTTCCAAAAGAGTTGTTCTCACACTCTTCATGGATGCAGTGGAAAGACAGCCATAGGTCTCTCTGGATCTCAGTGACCATCAGCTGCCAACACATGATTATAATTTTCAACAAAATCAATGCAAGAGTATCCTCCTTGTACAGTGAGAATACTGGCCGTGGTCTGAAAATGCACAGATATCCCAGGGTCCCTCAGGAGGACCAGCTTCTGCTGATTTCTCCATAAGTTCACCGTGTAGAGAAAAGCAGAAATGGCATTTATGTGTCAGGGTTTCATATGGCTGAATGTGGAGAAATGACCTGAAAGAAATAGGGACATTCATGGAACTGCAGAGAACTTCTGCAATGTTGAAAAAGTCTTATTAGGAAATCTTGTTCATCTTCCTGCTGGCTATGATTCTGTTCCTGAACTGTATTCTCTAGAGCTTTTAGTGTGGTTTTTAAATGAGTCAAGTGATGAGACTTTAGTATTTTCCTTGGAAAGAAAACAAAAGTTATTCCACAAGGACGAGTGGCAGATTTCCACTTACGATGAGTCTTCTAGGAGGTGTGTTAATTTACAAGTTCAATCAGACATGTATGACACAGTTCTTGTTCCTCTTATTGATGCTTTGTTGGTTTTTTTTTTTTGGTGTTTTTTTCCATGTAGGTTTGATGATTCCAGTCTTTTGTGTGGTGGAGCAGTCAGACGCCTCTCTTGAATACGATAATCGAGAAGAGCATGCTGAGTTCGTTCTGGTTCGCAAAGATGTGCTCTTTAGCCAGCTGGTGGAGACAGCGCTCCTGGCTCTGGGGTATTCCCACAGTTCTGCAGCTCAGGCACAAGGTATTCAATAGTTTTTTTCCCACTTCTCTGCACTGCAGAAGACAGCACCTGAGGTTGTTTGATGTAAGGAAAAAGTAAGAAAATTGGTAGCAAATCTTGGAAGTGTTTATATCAATTGTGTTAATTGCTTAATCCTAAACTAGGTGTACAACAAGCCCTACATTTTTCGCCTGCCTAGAAAGCATTAACTAGATCTTGCTGACGTGTGAAATCTGGTGATAATGATCAGTCAGGATATTCATGACACACTTGTTCTGTACCACGAGGCAGGTTGCTGCTTCGAGAAGTCAGCACAGGAGACAGAACCTTTAGGTGTACAGCTAGATGGTATCCAGTATTCCTCTTTTTATCAGGGCAGTTTTGAACAGGATATTGTTGTCCTTCATTTTTTAAACTATGCATTGTAGATAATAGTTACATATATATATGCATGCTGTGTTTATGGCACATAGTTGTAGGACTAAACGTGCAGGCTGACTTCTGTTTTCACTTACCTACTATATTGCTGCAAAACCCTTTGTAAAGCTCTGTAGTCCCTTACACTCAGAGATGATTCTCTGTTAGCAGCAAAATCTTAAAATGAATAAACCTTTCTTCTCTCTACCCAAAATACAAGCTTAAAAAAACCCAAACCTAAAATCGTAATCTTGAGGGAGATGGGCAGGAGGTGGTGGGTTGGGAAAAATCTTTCCAGAATGAACTTCAAATTTCAAGAGGCTTTTTTATACTTAACAGGTTATTTCAGTGATTATTCTTTTGGATGAGAAACCTGTAAGTTTGTTTTATCTCCATATCACCAATAAAACCTGTGCGCATTTAAAGTACTTTAATAGCAATTTGCCTGGGGATTTGAATTTTTTCTGTTGATTTGAGTTGTTTTGTATAGTTAGGTATTTGAATGTGGGAACAGAAGGAGCAATGGTGGTGTTGAATCCAGGAGTTCCAGGCAGTGTTTAATCGCACGGGCTCCTTGTGCAAACTTCTTTCCAAGCAGAGTGATAACGATTCATTTCCTCTGTCAGACTCTGCTCTGTGAGAGAGGCTCAGGTTCTTTGTACAGGCAGAGTTTATGTACGTGTCTTTATTTACACAATATGGTAGTAAAAGCCCTGCAAGAAGGTATTTATTCTGGTTTTTAATATGAAATGCTTTGTGTCATCTTAGGGACTCTTTTTTCCTGAGTGTAAAGGGTCAGCATATCCCACTGTTTCCATCCTGGTGAGCCAGCTTTCTGTTTGACAGCACTATCCATCTCAGTTAACACAGTTGCTCAACATGTTGCGAGCTAACATGTGGAACATGCTGCATTAGGTGGCCAAGATTTGATTCTTGGCACTTCTGAAGGGGAATGGGCTTTGCAGAAAACCTGCTCCAAGGGGGCATGTCATCCAGTGCAGTGACCCACACTGTCTGAGCATCTCACTCGGGAGAACCTCGCTTTTGTGGCATCACTCTGTTGTGAGAATAGAGAGGAGGAGACAGATTGACTCATGAAGGAAATTAGTCACTGTGCAGGGAGGAAATGGCCACTGCATTTTTTAGCTTGAACAATGAGCATGTTCACATACTGATCTGTCGCTTGATGTGCTTTTCGAAGAACTCCCTAGAAAATAGAAGTTGAATCTCTAATAATGGCAATTAGTCTAAAAGAAAAGACTAAGGTATTTTCATCTTTAAGGCAGCAATTACATTCCTCTAGGTAACATCACATGATATAATATTTAGAATGACAGAAAATACGTTCAAGATCCATCAGCTAATAAATCTCTTGGTCAGGTTATTTACCTTTGCAGTGAAGGGCCAGTCCACCGATGTCTTTAGACATCTTGAACAAATACTGCAGGCCATGTTGATCTTGAGATATGCAGCTGAAGCATGCAGCAGGTTCTGTAGTATCTTGCCTCTGTGCTAGCTGTCTGTAAGCTGAGGGGTGAGGTACAGGCAGAGACAGCCAATAGATTTCGGAGACTGTTTTGTTGAATGTGAAAATTTATAGAATGTAGGGCCCTAATTTGTTAACTAGAGTTGACAGAAGCATGGTACTAAATTGCTATTATAAGGATTTATTTGGGAACATAATTTTCTGATATTAAAAAGGTGGGAAAAATAAAGCTATTTACTTTATTCATTATGGTTGTAGGACCTGTGGTTCTGTTCTAGTGCTCGGAATTGATTTCCATTAGCAGAACGTATTAATAAACGGTCACTTAGTTATTTTTTCTGATCACCTGAATTACAGGATCTACGTGAGAAGTTGAAGGTCCTCAGGTGCATGTTTCAAAATACTCTGAGCATCATGCTCTGCAAAACAGTAATGTGAGTAGGTGTCTCCATGTCCTCCAGGGACAAAGTAAAAGAGTTTGTCAAAGCTTTGGTATTGTAAAAGCTGTCTGAGCTGTTACTTAGCATGTAACAATTGTCACCTTTTGAGTTGGCAAAGTGTTTCATTTTGGCTCTGTCTTTTTTTGGATGACTCTGAGGGGAATGGCAATTTCACTTCATCCTGCGAGAAGCGTCTTGCCTTTGCCTGTTCTTTTTAGAGCAGGGTCTTCTGTGGCAGATAGAAGAGCCAGTTGGGAGGGAAAGAAGAGCTGTGGCAGCAGAGGGAATTGCTGTAGGATTTCACACTGCCTTTGCTGCGGTTCCCCATGGCAGCCCTGCAGAGCTGCCGAGGCTCGAGTTGGTGTGTGGCTTCCCAGCTGTACAGCAGCACAGCAGAGCCTGGCTGGCAGGAAGGAAACGTGGCACAGAGTGGTAGGTGGTATAAGCCCCCTGAGGGGGCCGTGTGCCCAGAGGGGCCCTGCTGTAGGGCTGCCAGCCTGGGCTGCAGCCTGGAGCTGCAGAGCTCCCCGAGGAGGTGATGCTGTGTCCGAACGTTTGAGCTGCAGCATGCACACACAGCAGTCACCTGGCCTGAGCCTCGTGTATTGGCTTGTGGTCACTGGGCTTATTAATGGATCATTTTTATTCGTGGTTGCTAGGAATGGATATGTCTTAGCACAGTGTTGAGACAAAAATGTATCAGGAGGTATACATGAAGGTAGCCCCATGTCTCTCTGGAAGAAGCTCTTTATTCCCACGCAGTTTGGGCAGGACACGTTTATTCCACAAACAGCTGGTTGTGATTTTTTGTTGATGGTGGTGGGAGCAGAGACTTTTCCAGAGACTGCTGCCCTCATGAAACTTCCCTTTTCTGACAGGAGCTGTGAAATATCTTCTGGAACAGCATGGGAATTTGTTAACAGCTTGGCACTGGGGTGTGAAAGTTGGTGGTGTAAATGGCAACAAAGGTTTAATAAACATTTATGTATTTTTCTTTCATCACTTGAGTCTACACCTGACAGTAGGGAACCTGCTACATGTGCCTTTTAGAGAGGAAAAGAGTCATGCTTTAAAGGGACACCTGTTCCTATATGTAGTTTAATAAAATTTACTGCCCTGATGAAAATTTTTTCTTGTGGGTAAGGTATTCTAACAGAGCTGTGCAAGGGAAGGGAACTGGTAAGAGGTACACAGAATATACAGTGCTGAGTGCTGGGACCAAAGTAGTATGAAAGTAGCTGCAATCTGGTGTACTCTGTGTGCAGTCCTGTGGCTTTGGGACCTGCTGTGAAAACTGATTCCCTCCTCAGTGTGGGGTGGAAGAAGAGCAGTGTTAGTTTTATACTTTTACTATCTACTTTCTTAGAATCCATGAAAAAGGAAATAGTGTGATTTCCTGTGGATATACATTTTTTTCTTTTGACCAGTTCCTTGTTAGCTGCTGTGAGTGTGTACATAAAACTGATGTGCATTGTCTGCAGAAGTTAGCAGAGCTGAATGGGTCATTGAAATGGAGTTTGCCTTCTGTTCTCAGGTACTCGAGCTCGGTGTGTTGGCAGGGCAGTGTGGAGTGCCTGCTCTGACTGCTCTCTAGGAGCAGCTTTAGCCAAGCACTGACAGGATGGTTGCTTGGGTTAGTTGCTGTGTGTGACCATGACAGGGAAAAGGGTGTACAGAAGAGTGAAATGGTGCTCAGATGCCAAGCTGAACAGGAGGAGGAGTGAGAAAACAGTGGAGGGAAGTTAACACAGACTGAGAGATCCTTCCCATCCCTGTCACCATTGAGATTGTCACGCTCTGGCTCTTAAGAAATGCTTTTCCTTGAGCAGGGCCATTGCAAGAGGCAGTGCCTTGCATTTATGCCTCAGAGGCGTTTCTTCTAATGCTGTCTATAGACTGGAGAGGGGGGAAGACTCGTGCTTGCAAAGAGCTGTGGGGGGGCTCAGAGTGGAAGGCTGGAAGGAGAGGTTCGCAGTGGTCAATGGGGAAGGCGTAGTACGAGAACAAGAAAGGAACAAGGTTTTAAGTATCTTGCCTTGCCGTGTGGAGTTGCAGTAGCTGGACACGGAGTGATGCTGTGTGGGGATTGAGTGAGCAGAAGTCAGACAGCTCAGCCCTGTCAGCCTTGCATCACTGGAGTGGGAAAGAGGAGAATTGTATTGGGCTGATCAGTGCCTGGCAAGAGTAGCTGACACCCAGAGGTACCTCAGGACCTAGTCCAGTCCTACTCCAGCTGCCTTGACTGTGAAGCTCTGCTATTGCTGCAGCCATAGGACAGCTTGGCTTTGGTGCTTCTACCGAGAGCTGTGTTCTGGAGCACTGATGGAGCTGTCTTTGCAGTAGCTGCAGTAAGAGAGAAAGGTGACTCTCCTGACTGTGTAGGAAGGAAGCCAAGAAACAGACATGTTAAGAACTCTCCTCTGGATTGATAGTGCACACGGCTGGGGTGGGAGATAACCCAGACTGCAAGTGTGTTCATTTTCTTGAAGGGTTTAAAAGCGTGAGCTCAGCCCTGCTCTTTGCTGTTAATTGGAGGCCCCTCACACTTGTGGCCTGTGTTTTAGAATTGCTTCAAAGCACAGGCCTGTGTGATTATGGTGCTGTTCAGCGACTCAGTCCAAGCCCCAGGCTGCTGTGTGTAAGAATGTGGCAGCCAGAGTGCTGTGCTCCTTCACTCA